TTCATTTGTAATTCACTTTAAAATGGCTGGCAGCTTAAGGAGAGTTTTAGGTGCTGAGACAAAAGAGATCCCATTTTAGATTTTCTATGTATTATTTAAGCACTTCCGATTTACGCACCATTTCGACTTACAACCTGGATGTTCCCTCAACCTGTCGAAGTCGGGAAGAGATGTTTACAACAGTGTAATAGAGATGTGACCGACGCTCAAGCAGCTAACAAGCCGATCTTTTGAAGAGGTGAAGAGGATAAAAGAAAAGAAAAGTAGCCCTGTTGAGCCATCATGTATCAATTAATTTTAAAATATAAATTATAAAGTTAAATGTTATAATGGTTTAGGTTACAGTAAGTGTCTGGCATGTCACCCACCACCTGACCCAACTCCTTCATCAACTTCACACACACACACACACACACACACACACACACACACACACACACACACACACACACACACACACACACACACACACACACACACACACACACACACACACACACACACACACACACACACACACACACACACACACACACACACACACACACACACACACACACACACACACACACACACACACACACACACACACACACACACACACACACACACACACACACACACACACACACACACACACACACACACACACACACACACACACACACACACACACACACACACACACACACACACACACACACACACACACACACACACACACACACACACACACACACACACACACACACACACACACACACACACACACACACACACACACACACACACACACACACACACACACACACACACACACACACACACACACACACACACACACACACACACACACACACACACACACACACACACACACACACACACACACACACACACACACACACACACACACACACACACACACACACACACACACACACACACACACACACACACACACACACACACACACACACACACACACACACACACACACACACACACACACACACACACACACACACACACACACACACACACACACACACACACACACACACACACACACACACACACACACACACACACACACACACACACACACACACACACACACACACACACACACACACACACACACACACACACACACACACACACACACACACACACACACACACACACACACACACACACACACACACACACACACACACACACACACACACACACACACACACACACACACACACACACACACACACACACACACACACACACACACACACACACACACACACACACACACACACACACACACACACACACACACACACACACACACACACAACACACACACACACACACACACACACACACACACACACACACACACACACACACACACACACACACACACACACACACACACACACACACACACACACACACACACACACACACACACACACACACACACACACACACACACACACACACACACACACACACACACACACACACGGAATTAAGACAAAGCATCCATTTCTAATCACCCAAACCTTTCTGCTTTCACTCCATATATTTTAAAATGTTATGTAATGTAATGTTGAAGGATACAACTTTGTTCATTTATACTTATACTTATCACAATCTCCCTAAAAATACTTTAGGTTTTGTGTTTATTCAAGACATCTTCAGGTCATGAGACCCACTAATCCCCACCCAAGAAAGGGTGACCTGACATTTCAAAAGAAAGTCAGTAATATGAGACCACCAATCCCCTACCCTAACTCTACCCGACATTGAGTCAGGTCCGGTCCCTCCCCAAAATACTTGAGCTTTCGTCTTTATTCAAGACATTTTCAGAATATGCTCTCGGTTTTTTAGCTTGGAAAATTTGTTCCCAAAGCCGGAATTTTGTTTAAATTCCGGCTTTGGGAATGCTTTTCCGAGCTAATTTCAACTCCGGCTATCGGAGAGCCCCGGGTTTGAGGGATTCCGGCTAACGGAGATATTAATGTACCGAACTTGCACTGACATATAGGTAACTAAATAAATTATAACACCTTACACTTGCATCGTACTGTAAAAGATAAAATACCAAAAAATTACAACACTGTAGATCATATATCAACCTTAACCTACAGTCCTCTTCAGTAGTGTGACAACAATGTGCTCTGAATACTCTCTGTTTTATATTCCACAACAGGATCTCAGTGACATATGCATATACACATACATTCAAAAGCACATACAGTACACACACTAACATGCACATACAAACAAAACATACATGCATATTGTATATAGATACAGTACTGTATTGTGTGTATTCATAAACTTACACCACTACATTATAGTACAGTACTAACAAGAGGCACCACTGACCATGAACGGGGAGGGTACCGCAAGGTTGGCCATCATGCGCTCCAGCTTGGGTAGTCCACCAGGCTCAAAGAACGCCACAAAGTTGATATTGTTGACAGACGGCTGCAATACTGACCTGTGGCCGACTGTCTAAAGTGTATTAAAAAAGATTCTTATCTGCTTTTCATATTCATAATTTATTGACAAATATTTTTTTCACTTTGGTTTCATTTAGATAATTTGGCTGTGTTAAGGAAAGCTGGAATTTATTTTGATATACTGCACAATAATTGTGAGTACCGTACAGTACCTACAGTGGGTGATAACATACAAAACAATGTTATGAAAATAGATTAAAGTATGTTGCAAACTATTATTAAACTTGATGTACACAAATAACAATGTGCCAAAATTTTAAAACTACTGTACCAAATTATATGTAACTTTGCAACTTTAATAATTATGCAATATTTACATGTTGGTCACAGTTAACCATTCATTGCCTCAAGTATTGCTTACTGAGTACATACCTGTCTGGTTGTGTACATATCTCTCTCCCCCTCCCATTCTCGCTCTACATATCTATTTGTGTCTATGTAAGTGATTCTGTAATTATTCTTATAATATCTTTTTCTGTATATTTTCACAATCATCTTTCTTTGTCAGTCTCTATTCCTTTACTCCTTCTTATCTCTCTGTCTATCTACACCAGTTGTAAGTAGACTCTGGCTCCTTAAGATAAACTATACAGTACCAGTAGTTAGTTAGGTTCATTGTAGAGTGACATTACCACATATGAATCAACTCAAGACATCAGGTGCCATAATAATGTCTGTAACCAGCACTAACACTGATGCTGGCTTAAATATTAGCACTAACCAAACATTGTGAGTTTTGTTCTTCTTGAATACATTACAGGTATTGCTAAGGTATAAAACTTTCATAAGCAAATTCAGGCTCTAACCTAGCCTCCCTCAGCAACAGTAGGTTCTAATATGGTTCATCAGACAATGAGTTTGCTCTACACACTTTTCTATCTCTCTTATCACTGTCATATCTCATTTTTCTCTAATTCTGTGTCTATCTCTCTTATCTCTCATTTTTTATTTACTTCAGTATGTTGTTCTTGTCTCTCACCTGTACAGCAATGTCATGTTGTTCTTGATCTGTTTAATGTGTATGTTGAAGCCTGTGATCATGTTGCCCAGATTGTTGACAACTTTTCCTTGTGCTGCTGACCCCTCCTTTTCCATGTCCAGGAACCTCTTCTTCACCTGTTGACAGATATACAAGGACAAAAGACATTCAATCTCCATACTGTAGTTATTTCTATACCTTAGCATCACACATAACCTAACCTAACCAAACCTACACAAGTTATGTGTGTGTATATATGTCTCTGTTATGCAACCTCTCCATCTCTCCCAGAATAATGTGGCTAACCTGCTGTAGGTGTGCATGGTGGGTAAGCTCGAGGGCGCTGTACAAGTCGAGCAGGTTGTAGAGAGGGAGGGCATCGTTGGCAGTGGTGACAGAGCCCACATGAGCTTCCAGGTACTGAGACACGAAGGGGTAAAAGTTGAGGCGACGGAAGAGTATCCACAAGTGAGGCTTCAAGTCGAGGAGGCTCATGCTACTTGGAGCACGCCGCAGGTGGGCCAACAGTCGTCTCGTGAACCCCAAGCAATAGCGGTAGAGCTGGGTCTTGTTCATCATCTGAGGTAATACAGTACAGTACAGTACATTGGTCATCAACTATCTGGGTTTATATATATGAATGTCAATCTATCTTTCTATCTTTTTATTTTAGCTACTTGTCTTCTCTCTCTCTTTCCTTCACTCTCTATCTCCAGAAATAAACCTCTGTTTCCTCTGCTCTCACTTCTCTCCCCTCCCCCTCCTTTATTCCCCTTAGCTTCCCAGTTTCTCTCTTCAACAGGGAAGTTCTCCAGTAGCCAGGCCATGTTTTCTCAACTTTACTCTCCTATTACTAAGCAAATGAAACTTATAATAATAATAATAATAATAATAATAATAATAATAATAATAATAATAATAATAATAATAATAATAATAATAATGATATTGGTAATAGTGGAGGAGATGGCTAACACCAAAGAGTTTTTTCTAACTGGTTCATATTTTCCATAAATTTTGCTTAGATGACAGTACTGTAAGTAATAATAACTATTTAACTTTGTACTGTGATTTTATTTATTTTTTCTCTCTATCTATGATCATAAATCACCTGTAGTGGGCAGGCATGGTGAACAAACTGATTTTATGGCAATATTCAGTGGATTTGGCATTCTGTGTACCGCCGCCAAGGCCGTGGGCTCGTAACACACATCTTGCCCCCGGTGCCCACTGTTTCTCTTTGGATGTCGGTCACACGAGAATAACCCGTTATAGTACCTCCTTCTTTCCTCACACAGCCAAACTGTGGACTGCTCTGTCTTCTTCTGTGTTTCCATGCTCTTACAATCTGTCTCACTTTCAAAAGCTGGTTTTCCGGCATCTTCGCGGTGTAGACTAATAATGTACAGTACAGTATAACCTTTTTCTTCTCTAGCAGGTGCTCCCCGACTTACGACGGGGTTAGGGACCCAAATCCAGGTCGTAAGTCCGACATGGTCGTAAGTCCGACATAGATATAAAAAAAAAAAAAAAAAAATCTACAATGAAATACAGTACAGGTTGACCATCAAAAATCCGGCAATCGATAAACCGGAACCTTCAGTTTTCCGGCATGGATTTCGGAGCGCATTTTCAAATATTTCTTTGTTTATTTAATGAAGATATATGTCTTAGCTCATAAAATTCATACAAATTACCCGGCCAGAATATAATTTACATTGCTGGAATTCTTACAATTTGATGATCATTTTGAATATAAACATCATAGATTTTGCATTAGACATACAAATTTTAGATATAATGTTTACTCTGAGTAAATATGTTATCTTTTGTGCAAAATATATGACATTTATATTCAAAATATTCCTGGTCTTACAAGGAATCCAGCAATGTCAATTATATTATCCTAACTTAAGTGTTTAATTTTCTTTGTTTAAAGGACTGTACAGGTAGTCATTTTTTGTTAAACTTATACAGCAAATATAACCATCAGTTTTCCGGCATTTTCGAAAATCCGGCACTCCTCAGGTCCCGAGGTTGCCGGATTTTTGATAGTCAACCTGTACAGTAAAAGTAATAAATAATGAGGAATGGATACGGTGTGACTGAGCACTTACCTTTAATGTAGTCAGCTGAATGCACACGGGGCCCCCATAATTTTCTATTAACAGGATACATGGAGACTATATTAATTGGAGGAGACAGGGCTGGGTGGGTCATCAATGTCGCTTTCTTCAGACAGGTTTATGTGCTGTGGAAACTTGCTGGTGGAAGGTATTGGATCATCTTGAGGGAGTGAAGAGGCAGCACTGGTGGGGCGTGAGGAGACAGCACTGGGGGACTTCTTGAAATAGATGTCCAATTTAGACTGCACAGTTTGTTTTTTCTTTTCATTATAAATTTCTCTGTAGCAAGCAAGTGCATCTTGGATCATTCTGTCAACTTTGGCATAACGCTCATAATTTTGATCCATGCCATCAAACATTTGCATTCCTTTACTAAGTGTAGCAAATGCCTCTGCCATTTGTTTCACTGAAAACTTTTTGGGGGGTGCAGGTTCTTCTTCTACATTTTCTCTCTCTTCTTCCTCTGCAATTTTCTGTGCATCTAGTTCAATGAAATCCTCGTTACTGAGCTCTTCTGCTACACTTTCAACCAACTGATCACATCTTCATTATCAATTTCTAACTCCAGCTGTTTACCTAACTCCACTATCTTGTTACTAGTACCCAAAATAACTTCATTTTCATTAACTCCTTTGAAACTGTATGTCCGCTCAGGCATGCACTTCCACAATAATCCAGTATCATCCACATTGAATATTTGCTCAAACAAATAATTCCCTTCCACAATCACTTCATCCAACTCCTCCTTAAAAGCTTCGGCAGCACCAACATCGGCACTAGCTGCCTCTCCACTCACCTTAACATTGTGTAGACTGTAGCGTTTTTTAAATCTATTAAACCACCAATGACTTCCTGTAAAGGTTGGATCATATTCATCTCCTGCCTGCTCCTTCAGGCTTTTTTAACAGGCTTCTTGCTTTAGCCTGTATGATAAGAAGGCTTAAGGGTACACGCTTCTGTATCTGGTCTTCTATCCATATCACCAATAATTTTTCCATATTGTGAATAGGACCTTGTCTTTTCTTTGAAATTATAGTTCCCTTTATTGGTGTTGTTCCTTTCACTACATAACGAATACGTTCCTTGTCCTTCAGAATAGTGGATATAGTCGAGTGTGAGAAACCTAGGTCACGTGAGATTGTTGCTACAGTCTTTCCATTCTCATGCTGAGTTATCTTCATTTTCATCTCAACAATAATTGCCTGTCTCCATTTCTTTGGAGCACCACCAGCACTCTCACTTTTACGCTTTCCAGTCATTATAAAGTCAATTATATACGATAATAACGAAAGTTCACAGCGCGATCAGTATATAGGATACGATAGCCAAACACCAACTAAGCGCTCCACTGAGTGAGTGTACCCACGCGGCGACCCAGCCGCACGACGCTCTTGCCCGGGACAGAAACGTTTCGGTATAGAAAATGCCCGCGTCATTTGAAAATATTTTTGGTCACGACTGCCGCGGTCGTATGTCCCGACGGTCATAAGGTCAGAGCAGGTCGTAAGTACCGATGGACGTAAGTCCATGCAGTCATAAGTAGGGGACTACCTGTATTTTCAATTTCTTTCTGTTCTTTTTTTTTCGCCTGTGCCCGGGTGGGTTAATTCCCGTAAAAAAAAAATAAAAAAAAAATAAAAAAATATACAGGGTATTGATGTATTAATTATGTAAGAAAATTCTAGAATGTATTGCATCATTTTTGTTATGATTTACTTCTTATTGTAAGCCAAGATAATTCTCCAGGAGTGTTGCGAACCGACCTCCCGCGTCTGGACGTTGCTAGAATGCTCTAGGCGTCTGACGAGACATGTATAAGCGGCAGTGAGTGGCCTTGAGTCAATAGATCGCTTCCATTCAGAGTGTAATGACTAAGCCTAGCAGAACAACTGAACGCAATTGTTGTGCAAGTATTGTGGAATTGTTGCGATTAATATAAAGTGAGAAGACTAAGGAATTGTACACTGGTAGTGTGCTGACTATATACTTGAGCTGAGAATACATTACCCTGTTAACAGTGTTGTGAAGAATTACTGTTTATTAAAGACTACAGTGCACAAGTGTGTTTCAGTGACCTGGTGGAAATCTACCTGCCAGTTGTTTGTCTGTACACTGATACCGATCATCGGACAATTACCGGAGACTGGCGGGACAGCCGGTGGTAATTTGAGAACTCTTGTAAGATATCTACTGCTCTGTACATACGACCGTAGCCGCTGGTAACCAGTGGTGGAAGATTGGTAAGCGGTGAGTGGAAGAGGGTCATAACAATAATAATAATAATAATAATAATAATAATAATAATAATAATAATAATAATAATAATAATAATAATAATAATAATAATAATAATAATAATAATAATAATAATAATAATAAATAAACACAAAAATTAAAAAAAGATCAATAATGAGAAACAATATATGTATGTTGTGTTGTCAAAGTAAGAGAAAAAATTGAGACCCTGCAATTGTGTGTAAATGAGACAGAAAGTCAGATCAACAACCTGGGACTTGGTCACAATTTTTGTGATGCCATATGGCAGCAGGGTCTACCATTAGACAACACATTATGCTTCCAATATCTTCCCAGGCGGTAGTACCTCCCTGTTTGGTAGCTGCCTACTACCTCAATACCAGATATAGTAAGCTCTTTTTCATTAATATGCTGTGGAAGTTAGGTAAGGTCAAGTAGGTTAGGTTAGGTTAGGTCAGGTTCTGTGCACTGTCATTACTTACTATCAACCAAACATCATGTGCAGAAAATTAATGAAATCGAACAACTGCTTCTGGTGTTAGCCGTCTGCTCCACTACTAGCAATAATAATAATACACAATATGAATATAAACAGAAAAAAGTAAAGTAAGGTAAGAGTGGATAAGTCGGCTAACACCAGAAGGACTTGTTTATTGTCTCCACAGATACAACTTTTTATTTTAATAAGTTTTTTTCACTATCTACAATCATAAATCACCTGCAGTGAGCATGGTATGAAGCATGAAGGTATTTGTGGGGTAGAACAGGCGAAAAACTGATCATATGATACTGAAATGTCTCTACATGCCTTGTATGAGAAAAAATTATTTACCTTAAATATTCCGCCCCAAGACTTGCCATGTTGGAGCAACAACCAAGTGTACTCTCATGGCCATAAAAATGTAAAATTACAACATGTTGCTTCAATAAAGTTGTTTTCATTGTTACCAAATGTCAAAGTTCCTTTGCTTAATATGCTTGGGGGTTCAGGTTAGATAGGTTTCTTTGGTTAGGTTGGTTAGCTCAGGTTCTATTAGGTTCTGTTCATTGTTGTATATTTATATTACTTACCATCATCCAAACAACATCTGTGGAAAAAATTAACAAAATCATACAACTGTTTCTGGTGTTAGCCGTCAGCTCGGCCATTACCGAAAAAAATTATACAAGAGAAACTTCACATGACTAACCTGGTGAGGAGCTTCTCTGGGTCCTCTGTGAAGCTGTCCCAGATTTGGATAATGGTGAAAGTGGTGATGATGGTGATACTGTTGGTTCTTCTGTTGGTGATGATGCTGTTGTTGCAAGATAGTAGTAGGACCCTGTAAGCCATTAATGGCGGACCTGGGGAATCTATCCATCCTGAATTTGTAAAGTGCACACACACATCTGAGAGAGAGAAGTCACTCACTGCCTCACTGTTTTGTTAAATGACACAAGCTATATGAAGCAAACTCCTCACTCAAATACTCCAACCTAAAACAAAAACAAAATTAACCCTTCTGGCGATGACAGGGAACACAATTACCTATCCCACTGGGTCTGGTTGGATACTTGGTTAATGGTTGGGATAATTAGGACTGGCTGGTAAGGAATGAACTCTTCCTTCAGGTAGGATAACGAAGCTAATTATTTTAAGTCAGGGTACGCTTGATTACGTTAAGTTAAACTAGGCTGGTAGACTAGACTGGGCTACATAAGGTGAAACTTACAAGACAGTGACGATGAGGGTCAATATAACAAGCACTATCTTCTTCACCATTATCACCTTCACAAGTAGATGTCTGTAAAGGAAAGATGGTTAAAACCTTAATATATAGACAACGACACAAATTAATAATAAAGCCTAAAATAAACAATGAAGAACACACACACTCATCATCACCACAACATACTCATCATCACCACAACATACTCATCATCACCACAACATACTCATCATCACCACACAAAACACACTCATCATCACCACACACAACACACTCATCATCACAACACACACACACACACTCATCATCACCACAACACACACTCATCATCACCACAACACACACACACACACACACACACACACACACACATACTCACCACCACAACACACACTCATCATCACCACACAACACACTCATCATCACCACAACATAATCATCACCACACACAACACACTCATCATCACCACAACACACTCATCATCACCACACACAACACACTCATCATCACCACAACATACCATCATCACCACAACATACCATCACCACACAAAACACTCATCATCACCACACACAACACACTCATCATCACCACACACACACACACACTCATCATCACCACAACACACACCATCATCAACACACACCCATCATCACCACAACACACACTCATCATCACCACAACACACACCTCATCATCACCACAACACACTCATCATCACCACAACATACTCATCATCACCACAACACACACTCATCATCACCACAACACACTCATCATCACCACACAACACACTCATCATCACCACACACACACACACACACACATACATCACCACAACACACACTCATCATCACCACCACACACACACACACACACACATACTCACCACCACAACACACACACTCATCATCACCACACACACACCTCATCATCACCACAACATAATCATCACCACACACAACACACCATCATCACCACAACACACCATCACCACACACAACACACTCATCATCACCACAACATACCTCATCATCACCACAACATACCATCATCACCACACACAAAACACACTCATCATCACCACACACAACACACTCATCACCACACAAACACACACCCATCATCACCACAACACACACTCATCATCACCATCATCACCACAACACACACTCATCATCACCACAACACACACTCATCATCACCACAACACACACTCACCACCCACAACATACCATCACCACACACAACACACCCATCACCACACACACACACATCACCACAACACACACTCATCATCACCACACAAAAACACACCCACTCACCACACACCACACTCATCATCACCACACACACCACACTCATCATCACCACAACATACCATCATCCCCACACACACACACACACATCACCACAACACACTCATCATCACCACAACACACACTCATCATCACCACAAACACACTCATCATCACCACACACACAACACACTCATCATCACCACACCACACACACACATCACCACAACACACACTCCATCATCACCACACACAAACACACCATCATCACCACACACACGCATCATCATCACCACAACAACACACCACACAACACACTCATCATCACCACCACACCCATCACACACACATCAACAACACACACCATCATCACCACAACACACACCATCATCACCACACAAACACACACTCATCATCACCACACACACACACACCATCATCACCACACACACACACACACACACGTCACCAACACACTCATCATCACCACAACACACCCATCATCACCACAAACACTCATCACCACCACACACACACACTCATCATCACCACAACACAGCTCATCACCACACAACACACTCATCATCACCACCACACACCATCATCAACAACACCCATCACCACACACAACACACCATCATCACCACACAAAACACACCACACACACACACACATCACCACAACACACCTCATCATCACCACACACCATCATCACCACACACAACACACCATCATCAACACACACACACTCATCACCACAACACACTCATCATCACCACAACACACCCATCATCACCACAAACACTCATCATCATCACACACACACATCACCACAACACACCCATCACCACACAAACACACTCATCATCACCACACACACACACACACATCACCACAACACACACTCATCACCACAACACACACCCATCATCACCAAAAACACACCCATCATCACCACACACACACATCACCACAACACACACACACACACAACACACCATCATCACCACACACACCATCATCATCACCACAACACACTCATCATCACCACAACACACCATCACCACACACACACACCCATCACACACACCACACACACACACACACACACCACACACCATCATCACCACACACACACACACACCCACACAACACACCATCATCACCAAACACACACACCATCATCACCACCACAACACACACACTCATCACCACAACACACTCATCATCACCACACACAACACACCACACACACACACATCACCACAACACACACTCATCATCACCACACAAAACACACTCATCACCACACACACACTCATCACCCACACACACCACACCCACCACAACATACCATCATTCCACACACACACACATCAAACACACCCATCATCACCACAAACACACTCATCATCACCAAACACACACACACACTCATCATCACCACAACACACACTCATCATCACCACACACACACCATCATCACCACAACACACACACACACATCACACACACACCATCATCACCACACACAAACACACTCATCATCACCACACACACACTCATCATCATCACCACACACAACACACTCATCACCACACACAACACACCTCATCATCACCACAACACACACCCATCATCACCACACACACACATCACCACACACACTCATCATCACACACACTCATCATCACCACACAAAACATACCACCACACACACACACACACACACCACACACACACACACACACGTCACCACACACACCATCATCACCCACAACACACACCATCATCACCACACAAAACACACTCATCATCACCACACACACACTCATCATCACCACAACACACACTCATCATCACCACACACCCATCATCACCACACACACACACTCATCATCATCACCACACACAACACACTCATCACCACACACAACACACTCATCATCACCACACAAAACACCATCATCACCACACACACACACACACACCACCACAACACACACCCATCATCACCACAACGCACACTCATCATCACCACACACAACACACTCATCATCACCACACACACACACCATCATCACAACACACCATCACCACAACACACATCATCACCACAACACACTCATCATCACCACACACACACTCATCATCACCACAACACACTCATCACCACACAAAACACACTCATCATCACCACACACACACACATCACCACAACACACACTCATCATCACCACAACACACACACTCATCATCATCATCATCACACACAACACACTCATCATCACCACACACACACCATCATCACCACAACACAACACCCATCATCACCACAACACACACCATCATCACACACACCACTATCATCATCACCACACACACACACACATCCATCATCACCACAACACACGCCCACCACACACACACACACACACACCACCACACACACACACTCATCATCACCACACACACACACACTCATCATCACCACACAACACACCCATCATCACCACACACAACACACCATCATCACCACACAACACATGCATCATCACCACACACACACACTCATCATCACCCACACACACACACACACATCACCACAACACACACCATCATCACCACACAACACACCATCACCACACACAACACACTCATCATCACCACACACACACACACACTCATCATCACCACACACAGACCCACCACACACATACCATCACCACACACACACACCTCATCACCACAGCACACTCATCATCATCACACACACACACACACACCATCACCACACACACACACTCATCATCACCACACACACAACACACTCATCATCACCACACACAACACACCATCACCACACACACACTCATCATCACCACACACAACACACTCATCATCACCACACACAACAAACTCATCACCACACACACACTCATCATCACCACACACAACGCACTCATCATCACACACAACGCACTCATCATCACCACACACAACACACTCATCATCACCACACACACACACACACACTCACCAATGAAACTCTTCAAGGAGTTCCTCCCGGAGCTTGCTAAACCCCCTCTGCTCCACATCATCAATGCTTCTCCCAGTCAGCCAGATGCCCAGCTGACTGGAAGACCTCTTATGTATCACCAGTGCCCAAGTCAACCAGCCCACAATCCCAAATCAGCCATGACCTATTGCAATCACCCCATACCGCTCCAACCAGTGAAAGTTTTGTGTTCGACTGCTTATGCTGATATTGCAGGAGTCGTAGACTCCCAGCAATTTGGCAATATGAAAACTTCCTCCACCACTCACTGTCTTGTCAGCTTTCTCGATTACATATACCGCCATCTCGAGAAACGAAAACGTCTGTAGCTGTCGCCTTCATTGATTTCACACAGAAGCATTCGACCTAGTCGACCACATAATCATCAACAAAGCTATTGACCCGAGCTTCGGAGAAGTCTTATACCATGGCTTACAGAACTTCCTCAGTGACCGACGCCAAGTTGCACGCTCCGAGGGCTGTCTCCACCTTTCAGTCACTCACCAGTGGCGTCCCCACAAGCACCAAGATGGAACCACTCTGCTTCCTTATACCATCATCAATGATGCCCTAAGAGAAATCCCTGCTCGCTGAAATATGTCGACGACTCCACCACTGGAATCACGCCAACAATTCTGTTCCAACTATACTGCCCTTCAGGATTTATTGAACAGTCTCCAAAATGGGCCACCAACAACCATGTCACCATCAACCATACCAAGACCATGGTTATGCACATCAACCTTCTCCGACATTGTCCCACCTCCGCCCATTACTTTAGGTCCTAACACACTCCAGGTT